GCTGCTGCTGCTGCTGCTGCTGCTGCTGCTGCTGCTGCTGCTGCTGCGTCAGGCTAGGCCCTGCTGCCTTCCTCTAGCTGGCCACCTCCTCCCTCCTCACCCCAATTGCGGTTTCTATAGATGGTCCCTGAACTGCTGCTTCCCTGGACCTCAATGGTGCCCTGCACTGTGAAATCCCAGGTCCCAGCGGGCGACAAAGAGTGGAGAGCAATCCACACACCTCCCTTAAGCTGATGGAGAGCGCTATTGAGTTGGCAGGGAGTCTCAAACAATGGCAGGAGGCACAGGCATTGCACATGCCCAGGGCCATAGTAACTCTCAGATATTCCTGGAGGATTTTTAAGTCACTGGTTCAGTTAATTAGCTGAGATCAATTCCCTTCTTCGTTCCTTAGGAAGGAATTGTTTTTCTTAAGCAGCGTGATCTTTGATTACAGTATCCCTTAGACACCCACTAAGAGCCATATTCTGCCCCGCCCTCCTTAGAGAGACTCCTCCACCTCCAATTGCGTAGGAATCTAGTGACAAAGAACTCTCCCATCCTATTTTAGTCTCCTCTCTGGGTTCCCTTTCTCTGGGTTCCAGGGAAACCCTGGAATTCCCTGCTACACTCCAGGAATTCAGTGCTATCCTAAGGTGCCCTTGCCCCCGTGTGAAATGCTCTAGGTTCAAGGCGTGGCAGAGAGACTGCAGCTGTTTAGGTGGGTGGAGATTCAAGGTGGTGGGTGGAGCTTCGAGGTAGAGGGTGGGATGTTAGGAAAGGGCTTGAATGAGAGCTGCTTTGTTTTACTCTTTTTCTGTGACGAAAGATCGCTTGCTAGTGGGAGAACTTGTTGCTAGCTGTCAATTCTCTCATGGTTTTTCACACATGCAGAGTCTCTTCATCGAAAAGGATATCCTGTATACAGGGAAGGAGGCTTAGAAGGAATTGGCTGTGGCCTCAATTGCATTTGGAGTTCTCCCTCTGTTTACACCCCACTTCCTCTGCTCTTCAAACACTAATAGCCACCCTACAGTCAGGCCTCTAAACTGCAACAGCTATCAATCTAAGAGAGCATAGTGCCCCTTGTGTGAAACCTCAGCACTAGAGATGATGCAGGAGGATGGGAACTTTGAGGTCAGCCGGGATTGCATAGTGAGAAAGTCTCACGTAAAAAAGAAAACAAGAAGGGAGTGTGCATTTAATATAACATTACATCTTAGTCAGTGTTCTGTTGCTGTGAAGAAACATTATTAGAAAGACAACTCTTATAAATGAAAGCATTTAATTGGGAGCTTGCTTGTAGTTTCAGAGGGTTGGTCTGTTATCATCATTGTGGGAGCATGGGGGAGCATTCGCATTACGAATGGCACTGGAGCAGTAATTGAGAGCTTCATCCTGATCCATAAACACAGAGAGAATACATTTAATGTAACATTATGTTTTAGTCACATTCTATTTCTGTGGTGAGACACCATGACCAAGGCAGGTCTTAAAAAAGGAAGCATTTAATTAGGGACTTGCCTACAGTTTCAGACGATTAGTCCATTATCGTCATGGTAGGCGCATGAAAGCATCACTGGCAGTATGCTCGACTCTCTCGCAGCAACTGAGGGGTATATCCCCATACATAAGTATGAGAGAGAGAGAGAGAGAGAGAGAGAGAGAGAGAGAGAGAGA